TGCATGCATAGATGCGTTTGTCTGTCTATTTGTCTATCTGTCTGTTCCTCTGGGAAATGCTTCGAAACCAATGGACYGATTTTGAAAATGTTTCCACAGTTTTTATATTAGGTATATCATCTGGTAAATGAAATAGTTATTATAGGATTTGATATAATTTTACACCAGTGTTTTATATTTGATCTATACGTCCCAAATAAATGTTTTAACGATCTACGTAGCTGCTGAAGCAAAAGTTTAATGCTTAATGATGGGTAAATCCACAGGCATTTAATTCGTCACGCGCAACACCTTGCAGATTCAGCCAGTAGCGGATCTGAAGATCATTTGAGGAGGGGGCGAATAGGTATCATAGATTGATAGGTAATAACAAAGACGTAACTGAATAMATATTTCCCATTATCAAATTAAAATACCTTTTTTTGTATCATTTATTTATAAGTTTAATGTTATAGCTATGMCTTATGAATTTCATGTTCATTTTATCATACGGCGCTATAATTTAAGTAAAAAAATTCCCTAGGGAGGGGTAATCGCCACGTCACCTCCCCCTCAAATCTGCCACTGGATTCAGCTGGTTATAAACATAATTAAATATTATAAACTGTTAGGCATCATGTACGATTCGTTTAATGTGTGCATATACTCGTATAATTATTATTTATATACCTATGATCTATACCATATATATATATATATATATATATAATATTAAGAAAATTTTCGGTTTTTCTTGTATTACATCTTTCAGTCACTCGGATGTGAGATGCTGGGAATACGTGTAGTATTCGAGCTCGTGCATGATTTAGTTTGTAGTTTATTTTCCGAAAATATTGCTATACTCACATATTCTTATAAAAAAATCCCATTCTACGTCATATATTTTATTTATTCTCAAGCAGATTTAAGATTTTTCATGACAATATAGGTTATTTACGCCTAGGAATAAAATAATTCCCGTATCTATGACCCGATTATCTGTTATGTTTAGCCGTATATGAATGTGAAATATTTTCTTTTTGTATCAATGCGGTATGCATTCGTATGTTAGTTAATTGGAATGTCAATACCTCTATTTTGAAATATAATTCAGGTATTAAAGTGCATTTTTTTTAAATGTAATATATTAATTTTATAATATTCAAAGTATATATTAGTCATTCAATTTTTTTATTTTTTTTWWAAAATAATAACAATAAAATATTAATATAAATTAAATACATTTAATATYTACACATAATAATTAATTGCAGTCTGGGAATTATATAAAAAATGCTTAAAAATAAAAATATTATGATGCTTTATTACTTTAGTATTATTTTTATGATCTATAGGTAATTTACAATAAATGTGATTTACCTCGATTTAATTTCACAAATTATTAAAATTGTAAACATGTAGGTTCGAAGGATCAATCAAGGCACATTTTTATAACTTAATTTAGTTGATTAAATATTTAAGTTTGATATTTTGTAATTTTTTGAAAATGTTTATTACATTTATTACAACATAATTACAAACAAATTAAAAATGTGGCTCGATCATACCAACATGAAGAATTCGAATACAGTGAAACCTCCTTTAACGGACACCTCTCAATAGCGGACACCTCCAAATAACGGACGGAATTTTGGGAACGGTGAAATGTGTACTCACTATATTTCCCCTCTTAACAGCGGACACCTCCAAATAGCGGACGACGTTTAAGTGACCGAGAGTGTCCGGTATTTAGAGGTTTCACTGTATTATTTTCAGAATTTAGATCGTGATAATTTTCGATACGTATCATTGGAATTAGAAACAGTAATTTTAAAACAACCCATTTAACAGTCCACTGTCRCCTAATATGAAGTATTAATTTTAAGATGATTGACATTATCTTTTAAGCAATGCAGCTCATTTCCATTCGAATAAGCGATACAGTTTTTCTAACGATACCTATCCAACTATAGGTCGTATATGTGTACATAAACATAATGTCCTTGTATCATATATTTTATAGAAACACACCATWAACATTTCACATTTTTTAAAAGAAATTTTTTGATCCTTAGAATAATGAGTTGTAAGTGTTGTAACATATTATCTTCGTATGTCATAGGCAATGGCGTAGAAATAAATACTATACGACTTGACGAATCAGGTGCAAAAGTATATAGACTAATATTCGGTTATATTTTTTACAAATTAAWRTCGTTGACGTCAATGAGATGAAACTATCTTCAACGTGACTTGGTGAGAGTTGGCGTGGTAGTGGTAATAATATACAACGGTGTGGAGAAGTGGTATAACTCACCGCATATAAYATTATTACATTATATAGAGTTGTATTACGTATGAATATGGATTGGGTGGACTGCTGAGTATGCGTAAGTTTCATACTGTAACCGACCAGTCGTGTTTTAGTGACTGATACTTTGCGGTCGCGAGTACTCCAGACCAATGATACAAAAACCGTATCGTTCGATTAACATTAGAGTAGTTGTCAGTACCTAGATAACTAGTAACTGGTTTGAAACACAACAGTGCAGCAGTACTATTTTGTTATTTCGGTTCGAGTGCACAATATTACGTGTGGTTTTGGACTAAATTATAATGAATTTGTTGCGGCCGTCGAGTTCTTTGCAGCAGCCGTGTAGACTAAAAACGGTAAGCTTATTATTTTTATTTTTTTAATAATATTTTATCTTAAAATAAGATAGTACGAGTATTGTATAAAATATAAGATTATAATTTTTTTAACAGTAAAAATTATAATTGACACTTTCGCTGTGTTAAACACTCTTGACTAACCCGGCTTTGAAATGTTTTTACGAGAGTGAGATTCCCGAAATGACCCGAGGTAGTGTATAAAAAATAGAAACTAAGCTGGTTATGGGCAGGTATCCTTGTATATTTTAATATGATAATTTTCACTAATTATTAGGAACTTTGGTTGTAATAATGTAGTCAAGTGTGTACTCTGCGAACTGCGACTACCTATATAATATGCAATGGTAGCCAAAATAAAAACCTATAAATTAAGTTTTTTGCCATGTTAGTACACACTCACACTCACACGTGTAGATCTATTTAAATTCTAAACATTACTGCAGCCAATAACTATGTAGGTAGGAAGCTTTTTAGACGACTTATTCATACCATTCCGAATGTCAGTATTGGCATTAAAGTTATAATAACAATAATATRTGAGTATATGATATACAACTATAATATAATAGGTACCTACTATGCAATGTTTTCGGCAAAAATTAATTAAACTAATTCTATTACTCATGGCTATACTTAACAACCCCCCTCCCAAAGTTTTTAAAAAGTAGACAATATTTTTTATTGATTATTGACTGTTTTTAATAAATTATTAAATGAACAAAATATGTTAATGAAAATGGTATCATTGAATAAAATAATTACTTCTAATTAATAATATTGCTGTATTTTTTATAAGTCATGCAGGTATTAAAACCACAGGATTCTTGACATCAATAAGTAACTAGTTTAATATTAAATAATAAAACAATTGAAAGAATAAATGAATAAGATATTATTTTGATTTGATTTAAAAAAAAAAATGCATATTATATGAATTTCCATACCTACATAGATACCTACTTTATAATATATATTTTACCTAGACCTCATTTTATTCTAATACTTGACGTAAAAATTCAAAAATTCAACATAAATACATTATAATAATATGTTATTATAAATATTAGTAAATTATTATAATTTATAAGTAGGTATTAAATACATTGTTATTTAATAATATTCCAAATAAATAAAAYAAAAACCTTCGAAATTAAAAACATTTTCTGTAAAACCAATTCAAAAACAGAATAATGATGATAAATGTTTCTCGAGGTAAAGGACATGAAACAGGGGACTTCACTTTGGCATTTATGAAATTGAACAACTGACTTTTATAATTTAAACTCTGAATTTCTGTGATGTAAGATTGTATGAAGATTGCACTAGATAGTTAAAAGTTAATCTTGCAAAAAACGTCATTTTACCAAAAGAGTCATGATTTGAAATAGGTAGTTGACATAATTTAAATTAGACACTCTGAAAGTCTGAAATATTTTATACTACGGAGATATACTATAATATATTACTATTAACGACGATATAAAAAATATGTAAAATTTTTATCAATGCCTATTTAATATAATACTTGGATGTTTAACAAAAATTTCTAATTTTATATGAAATTTTCTCAAGATAATAATATTGATAATTTAAGTTATTTTTTAACTATGCTCATTTAAAGGCTCATGCCATGAAGAGTTTTCACCAGAAAATGTTTGCGTTCAACGTTTTTCAAATTTTTACATARACGATTTAGTTTCATATTTCACAATAATAAGTTATGACTATAATTAAATAGGTATACGTGTACATTTGTACAAACTTAAAAAAAAAATTCTAAAATATGTTTACCGTTTAATATTTTTAAGCAATTTACTTCAGTGTAGAATTATTTATTAATACTGAGTATCTTAAAATCAAATTTAATAATAATATTATGAGTATATTTTTAACTTAATTCGTCATCAAAACAAGGTATTACCTAATTGTATGACTTCACCATTCAGAAACGGTTTACTTTTCATTGTACGCACAATCGGTATAACGTAAACAAAGTTTGAATTCATGAAAATTCTGACATACATTGATAGTTCTTCGTTTCTTCCTGTGAATATTTTATTAGGTACCTAGTAGGATATAATCATAAAAATTAATTTTACACATAACTTACCTACGTCATGTTAAACTTTTACTATAAAGACTTTTTCGAGATGTATATTTTTAATAAATTTTKTATTATAATTCCTCCAACTTCAACAGATAGATCGTTGATCAAGTGTGCCTTATATTTGAATTGTTTGTGATGTTAAATTGACACTACTTACCTAATCAAATAAAAATATGTAAATGAAAGAATTGTAATAAACTTATTAAAAATACGAATGTAGCTTTGTTCCGATTTTGTACATTAATCGCTTGTTTCACGAAAGATTCATATAATATTGTTATCTGATTGCTCAGTTTCAAAAATATTTATTATAATATGTACAAAAKATATTTCTGATATCGTAATTAAAACTAAAACATTAGATTGTTTTATTTTTTCACAATAAGTACCTATGTAATACATAATTAATAACAGAACAAACAATATGTACCTATTGTACCTACGCTTCATAACCATTGCTCAATACTTACTACTTTCTCCGTGAGTTCCTTCACGCATATCGTACCTTGTGTGGTTATTATGTTTATTACAATACAYTATCATCGTCATCACTGCTGTTATTACATAACATTAACAATACTTCGTATTCCATTTAAGTCGGGTAAACAGTGGTTGTGTTGGTCTTTATCTCCATCGCAGTTGACGAATCCCTTACGCTCCGTGTAACATTCATTAGAATATATTATTATTATTATTATTATATACTGGAATTCCGTCATCCGGCATAATTAATTTTTCTCTTATTCATTTATAACTATTAAATACCTCGTAGTTATAATAAAGTATAACGAAACGCATAAGATAGTAGCCCGGTCCTTCGTGTTTACACGGACATATATCTTTTTTAATTTTAATGTTCGATCATGTCTCCAAGGAYATCAAGTCAACTACAGCATAAAGTTAGATTACACCACACGTTGATGGTTTATTATTTTTSTTTTTTTCTTTAACAGTTTTTTGAAACACTCATAATGCTGTGTTCGTCGAATTCTAACCGTGATTCATTTACGATACCTACCTACACTATATAATATAATATAAGGCCTATAATATGCATCATRWYATGATGCRGTTGTGTGCATAATAATATTATATACGTCTACATCAGCTGTTCACTCAGTTCACATAACGAGTAATACCGCTTTTTAAATCTACGTTTTCATTATCGAAATTATATTAACAACTTTCACCGTAGACGTGACCTTAAGTCTCGAGTATACAAGTGCATCGAACTTCGCGTGTTTCCCATGTGCAGTTATTTCGTTTAATACTTATCATCAATCGCCACGTGCTATTCTAATACAATGTGTAGCTTTATAATATACTTACTTACCTACACACACACACACACACACACATATATATACAATATTCTAATTATTCTAATTATAGTGATTTGATTTAATTTGTACCRACAAGCGACTACGTATATAATAACTGTAACGAAATTATTAATGAATTCAATGATTCGTTTAAAGACGAATGCTTTATGTCTGCATCGTCGTTGGTCTACGTCCGTGTGGCCGGCCGCAGCATAACATTATCCTTGGGAATTGAATAATACACGAAAATTACCCACACGCAACACTTTCACTCATTTCACTTTCTAGCATGAGTAAATATTATCTGCGTTGTCACATATGATACCTATCAGTTATAATAATACATGACGTACTGCAATTGAAGGTTGGTTTTAATGAAACCGTTAAAATCACATAGTTGACCAAATGAAATAATATTATGTTATATATTATGCTAATTAMGCGTATCATAGTGCGTTTAATATCACCGTGTACTTTATGTACAGTGTACCTACGTTTAAACTCCAAACCATAGACTATTCTATATCTAATCTATTATTACTATTATTATCATCAATGATACGGCATTATTGTACACATCCATCCAATTATGTATAYCTACCTATTATAAAAGCTTGGTAGGTACAAACACTACTTTTATATTGCCTGATCATTAACACTACCATAAATATAAACATAATGTTTAGTTTAATGTCTATTAATCTATCGTCTATATATGTTACGGAATATGCCTCTAAAATAGTATTTTATAAAAAAACACATGTCTATTGCTTTATTTTAACTACGACAATAACAGATTAATTATTTCTCTTTCTATGATTTGTATTTTCATTTTTTTTTTTTTGAATCAGAAATTTTCAGAAGATTTATTACATATGAAAATTGGCTAAGTCAAGTATTGTATAGTAGTATTTGTATTTCATTGTTAAACAGCAATATTCATTGATTTGGTTTATCTTGATTCAAGATTATAATTCACTATGTTGTAAATGGATCTTATTTAAATAGAAAAATTGTAATTGTATTTAAGAAATTTCCGAAAATATTTAATCAAAATTACTCCCTTATTAATTGTTCAAAGAAATGTTGACTTAAGTTCTTATATATGTTGGTCCGGAGAATACAATAAATGAAAAAAACTTGTTTAGTGTGATTCAAAATATTATGATTAATATTTGAAATAATACAAAAAATTATTTCCAATTGTAAGCAATATTATTTATTGATATTA